CTCTCCTAATCAGTTATCCTTAGTCATAAATAAAAGGAAAGATATTCATTTTGCTGCATACACTAAAAGGCTATCTGTGTATGCTAAAGTTTAGAAGGTGAAAGAGAGCGGGCAAATATGTGTTTCCCTACCACAAGAGTCAATTTCATAACAGCAAACAGAAATCCCAAATCTCAAAAGCTGTTTCAAAAAAAGAACACTGACTAATTTCAAAAGCTTTGTTTGATTCATTTGCCATGATATCATTTTCACATAGGCCTGTTTGCCCAATATTGCTGAATCCTCTCTCTGGAAAAGTTTCCAACAGAAGAGTTCTATTGGCTGAAATCCATGGGGGGGGGGGTTGAGACTGGTGTGGAGGGGCAGGGAACTCCCCCCCCCCCCGCTTGTTTGTGGAGTGGCCAGATGGACTGAGCCTCAGTCTTATTAGCCAACAATAGAGCATCCCTGTTCTTTCCTGAGCTTTGCTGATCTGATCTTCCTCTCTCAGTAACACCATCTCAGAGACCCACACCTACATACAGCACAGGATTACAGACTTGACTACATAAAAGGCAAAAACAGAAATCTTGCATCTTACTTCCCTCTGTGCAAATAAGAGCTGTTGGCTGAGAATTTGAAAATAGAGTTTGCGTTGGCGTGGACACAGCAGTGACCATAACCGAAAGATTCAGCCATCACCTTTCTAGTGAGGCCTGAAGATACAAGGTGTGCATGCATGACGGTTGGGAGGGAGCTGGGGGGAAGGGCTCCATTGTCTCAGAGCAAGGAGATGTTTCAGTGGCCTGATGATTTCCTCCATTTGCTCCATCACATCCTGTCCCTTCATGGGAAGGAGAGATTCAATCACAAAGGCTGAATCAGAGATGTGAGGTAAGTTGACTAATGAAAAATATAAGGACCATCTCAGCTTAGAAACAGGGCAATTGAACTACATGTAAGTGTGATGATGCCAGTGACAACGAAAGCTGGCTTTTCTCTAATGTACTTCATACATGTTACCTCACTGGATCCTCATTAAAAAAAACAAAACATGGTTAAATATATTCTACAGATATTTCTTCAGTGTTTTGATGAGCAAATGAGATGTTTGTAAAGTGCTCAGCATAGTGCCTGATATCATAGCATATAATAAATGCTTATTCCCTTCTCCCCATTTTTCATATAAGGAGACTGAGACTCAGAAAAACAGCATCACATAATGGCAAGAGTGTTGGAGTTGGAGTTAAATGATGGGAAGGAGGCAAATCATTTAACCAACTGATCACTCCATAAACATTTATTAAGCACCTGTAACAAGCACTAGGAATACAAAGACATAAATGAAATAATCCCCACCCTGGAGGAGCTTACATTCTATAGACCCTCGAAGAGCCTCAGTTTTCCTAATCTGTAAAATGGGCATCATAACACTTACACTAACTCATGGCATTATTTTGAGAAAACTGTTTTGTGAGCATTAAGACCTTGAATACAAAGGATTTACTATTATAACTATTATTATGGCTTGGCATCATAGTTCCAGAGCAGAGAGGTGGAAGAAAAATTCAAACACAGGTCACTTCTGACTACAAGTACAGTACTTTTGCCACCATAAAATGCTAATAATGTTAATTCATATTTCTATAATGCGATTAAGGTTTGAAAACATTTCTTTCTCAATAACCTTTTGAAGAAGATAGTGCAAGGATGTAATTGAGACTTCTCAAAAGATGAAGATAGCTATTATATTACTCTTAAGTCTTCTCTTCTCCAGGATAAACAAATAAGAGCTACTCCTCTCCACATCCTGAGTTCCCTATGTGGGCTATATTTTAGTTTGTCAATGTCTTTCCTAAAATTCAGCACTCAGAGTGGAAGCTGGGACTCCAGTTGGGGTATGACCAAGATGGACTGGAGGGTGACCATCACATCCTTCTTTCTGGATACATCTCTTAACAAAGACTTGGAGAGAACTCACTTTTATTCAGTTGGCACATGATACAATATGCCATCTAATCAGCTTGTGAAACCAAGGTTTCAGATTGAACCCTGCCACCAACAAAACTAGACTAGGAGAAGGCTGGCTAGGGACAGAGTTGCCTGGGGTACACTGGTAGTAAGGAGGGATGAGGAAGGTAATTCCTTTCTGCAAATGTACATCTTTTAATGCAAAAATAATAATTTTAAAAAAACCAATACTTTCTTCTTTCCATACAGCCTCAGCTTATAATTATTTATTTTGTAAGTAAGACAGGGCTTATGAGTTCTAGTGAACACTCAGAGTCTCTGGAAAATGATAACACACAGGGGACATGATTTTCCAACCTTATGTTGAGCACACACACACACACACACACACACAAACACACACACACACACACTTAGCCTTGGTTTTGCCCATAGGTAAAGAGGCTTGCTGACATAGAAAAAAAGAAATTTAAAAAAGAAAAAAAAACTTTCACAAAGAAGCCCCTGTAGACACACAGAGAAATCTCAGGGCTGTGAGGTAACAGTGACTTGGTATTTTTCTCCAAGTTGCTTTTTGTTTTTAATTTTGGACAATGGAAGTGGGTTCTGAAAATCCCTAGGTTTACACAGGTAGGAAGTGGAATAATTCTACCATGAACTTGCTTGTGACAGGCACCAATTGTATCAAGCTTACCTAAAGCAAAGTGATTTAGAAACGGATTAATTGGCCCATGTAGACAGTTAAATGTAAAAAAAAAATTTCAGGTTCAAAAGCCCACTTTGGAATGTGAAAGATCTGGTTTAGTGACCTACAGAGTTAATTAATAAGAAAGACATAGCCACATATTCTGGATGAAATCATCTAACTAAAGAAAAGAAAAGAAAGGAAAAGAAAAACAAGTTTTTCACCATTACATGAGGTTTGTTTAGTCTAAATTACCCACTCATGAAACCTAAAGGAATTAAGTCATCTATTCCAACCTCTCCCTGGCAAATGGATCTTCATTCTCTGCTTGAAGAACCACCCCCCCCCCCAAATAGGGAACCCACTGACTCCAGAGCTAACCTTTTCTACTTTGGGTCAGTTCTGACAGTGTAGAAGTTATTCCTTACATCAAGCCAAAATATGTCATTTCCCTCTCTCCTTCCTAGTTCGTGCCCTCTGGGGCTAAGCAGAACATGCCTAATCTCTCTTGCACATGACAGCCCTTCAGATATGTGAAGACAGGTATTATGTCTCACTTCCTCCTTCCTCCACTCCACCCCCCCCCAACGAATATTCCAATACTACACAAAACAAATGATTTCTCTGAAGATGCTCTAATGAGCTGGGTCTATATTGACAACCAAAATGGAATATTTCAGGTTGAAAAGTCTCCTTTGGAACCTCAGACATCTGGCTAGGCTATTTATGGCTTTCAATAATCAGAAAGACATTGTCAAAGATTCTGGATTATTTAGTTAAGAGGTGGAAAAAAAACATTTTCTTCTTCAATAGGAGTTTTTTGAGGTTTCTATGTCTAAAATTTCCTGAATGATTAATTCTCTACTTTGCCTGTATAGACACAGTTTCTTATAATTATTACAACGACATTGTTGCTATATGTGTTTCGCTGAACTAAGCCCCAAAGTAAATACATTCTAGAGGGTGGAGCATACTGGCAATACCTGTCCCTATTTCAACTGATGTTAGTAGAATGTCTTCTCAAAAGTCTAGATTGAACTGAATCAAGAGTCATTTCCTCTCAACCATGCACAGAGTCCCACATTGCCCATGTTTGATAAACTCTTCTTCCCTTCTCAGACCAGGGTGAAGTTGCTTTCTCCAGAATATAAAGTATTTTCCCACAGCCAATGATGAGGATTCCATGGTTGTTAAAATTAACTCTGACATATTTGTCCACTGTTATCTTGCCCAGATGATGCAAAATGCAGTGACCCTGCCCCAAATCAAGTGTATGTCTGTCTGTCTTATACTTACATTCGAATTTGTTCTGGGTCTTGGCCTATCTCCCAGCAGGGAGAGGGAATCTGGAGTATGCCCACCCTCTCCCATGCTCAGTGCAGTAGTAGGGTACAGTTGAGTTGTTAATATCATCATTTCTGGGAGCACTACACTGGAACGGTGTAGCAATGGAAAAGGGAAACGAGATGAGACACTAATTAAGGGAAAAAATCACAGGACAGTCCTCAGTACCATCAGAAGGCACAAAAGGAGACCATGGAGGGGTCAGAAGGCAGGACTCTTTGCAGATGTAGAAAAACCTCCAAAACTAGAAATATTCAGCATCACAGGGGAGGGAGAGTAAATAGGAAGGAAGAAGAGAATCCTATAACCAGTCAAGAAGTAGTGTTCCTAATCCCATCTTGTGCCTTGAGAGAAAAATCAAGGGACAAGGGACAGAGTATATCCCTCACCAACAATTCTCACTTGCTAATAATTCAGAGCTTTGGCACTGGTGTGATAAATAAACAGATAAATGTATTTTATTCTATACTGAACACCAGGGCCTCACCAGCATGACTCAAGCCCCTGAAAAAAAATATCCTTCCCCTCTCTCCCCTCCTACTTCACCAATGCTATTGAACTTGCCCTAGGACTCATGGGTTCCTCAAACATATGGCATTCACTGGAATTCAAAGTTAGCCCAGTAAGACCCATCATCTAGCTCATTCTTACAGGATTCACAACAGAGTATGCACCCCCAGACCCACCCAGGTCCCCTACAGTGAAGTGGGAGGGGGAAGGCCACGTAGCTATTCCCTCCCCAAACAAATTCTTCTTGATTTCACCTCATCCCTACAACATCTCTTCTGCCTTTCCTAGCTTGAACTGCACAGGAAAATCAGAATTTATGGTACATATGTTTGTGTTCCACTTAATAAAAAAACTCTATATTTTAAGATAAACTTTGTTAGTAATTCACAAGGTAAGTGACTATTTATGCTAATAAGGCAGAAATATATTCTCAAGCATAATGCATTACATAAATTTGAATGCAAAATGTTCCATTATGAAGTAAATACAGGTAATGCAAATAATAAATTACCTCTAATAAAAATTATAAAGGATGTGTCTTCAAAGGGAAAGAGGCTTCAACTTGCAACCAGGAACAGCTTAAAGAGAAAAGAATTAATAAATGGTGAATTACTCTGATGATTACTTAGCCCATAATTCACCTATTCATAACGACTCGGAGTAATCAGACCGTTGTTTCACATCCTCAAATATGAGGCAAGACTGTTTCCCCAGCAATTCCACCCTTATCAGATTATCACGTCTGATTCTATTAATTTTCTTCCATGAATCTGCTAACAGTGATTTGTGATTTACTTACCCTGCTAACTGATCTGAAGACTGTTAAAAGGATTTATCTAACACTGTACCTAAGAGCAGCTTAGCCAGAGCGATCAGTTACTTTGAACAATTCTTTTGCAAATCAATTCCATTGGTTTCATAGTTAAATTTAGGGAGCAGTGTTCAGTTCACTGCCATAAAACCAGAGGCTGGATAAACAAAGGTTGTAGGGGGTCTACTCAATTTTGATAATTCAGTGCTCACTATCCTTTGCATCCATCCATCCATCCATCTATCTATCTATCTATCTATCTATCTATCTATCTATCTATCTACCTATCTATCTATCTGCCAATTCTCATAAGTTAGATCCAAGTCCATATACCTTGTCATCCTGAATCCTGTGCAAATCTTTGTAACTTTGTTTATAAATAGTTTTTTGCATTGAACTTTAGTGTATGTACTTATTTGAAGCTACTATTGTGCATTCAGATACTAAGGTTTCATAGCCTTACACATGCTTTTACACATGCTCCAGGAAAGCAAGCCATTCCCAATCTCCTGCAGTAAATATTCACTGATTTCACAAAGTTAAACCATATCGGTATGAAATGGTCATGGAGGTCAAGTCCATGGTATTCTCAATTAAGGAATATTATTCAACAGAGATCCCTGTAGTACAGATATCAAGAGAATATTAAAAGGGCAGAGGTGGGGGTTGCAGATCATATTATGCTCGGATGAGATTGGCATGGATAGACGGGGAAAGAAGTATTAGGCAAAGGAACCTAAGGAAATTTGGCCTGTTATCCGCCTGGAAAATCTGAAGGCTGAATAGTGCTAATTAAAATGACAGGATTCAATTGTCACAAAAGAAACCCTGCTATTAAGGGTCTGTAAATGTTTAGATATCCCTTGTGAAAAAACTAAATTATGAACTCAGAAACTGCAAAAGATGAGAATGCTCATTATAGGAATGGGCTATTCCTGGGACATCTACAAACTATCTATGAAGTTGCCTTTGTCTTAAGGAATTCGGAATGGTAGAAAAGGCTGTGCAAATAACAGGGGCATACATGATCATTTAGCAGTGGTGCCCAACAGTAAGCCAAGTCATGAAATGGTACAGATACTGCTACTAACACTCCAAGTCAACACATGCAGAGTCTTTGGGTTTAATTTACAGCAACTGCTGATGGCGGCATTCATGAGGGTCCATAGAATGTTGATTCTTCTTTGTCTTCAACCAAGTTTACTCAAGAAACTCATGAGTTTGTATGTGTAGCTACCTTATATAATGCCTCTCCCAGCCATTTAATGGGATGAGGATAATTTCTCCAAACTCTTATCATAAGGGAAAAAAAATCCTATAGTGAACAATGGTAAACAGTATCAACATTACCAGTAAAGAGACTTGGATCATTTCAGATAAAGAGATAAATGAGCACATTTGGACCAAAAAAAAAAAAAGCGGCTGAAAATTGTAGCAGTATTATGTGAAGATGCTAAAGGACATACCATATTTATCTTATTTAGGGAAAGCTTAAATGGAAGAAATAAATCTTACCTTTGGATCACATGATACAAGCCTTTAAGTTTACTAGGTATAAAAATCTTTACCAACATGAAAGGAAGGGGGGGGGAGGCTATTTGATTGCATAGATATGCACAAATTAATAAACATAGTTCATTCCTCCTCACAAAGTACTACTGGATAGCGACCCTGCTAAATAGAGGGAAGCTGCAACAGGGGAAGGTCTAGGAAATTCTGAAGATGGAGAATTTCAGGTGAATAATTTTTATAGATCCCAAATCATTTTGGGGGAGTCCCAGACATGGCTCTGGCTACTACACATGAAAATGCCAAAAGGCCTAGCACAGTCCTGCAGAGTGACACCCAAGGCCCTGTTATAAATAGCAAAGTATGTTGTGGGGTGGGTGAGACCGTTCTGAAGTGCAATGTTCAAAGAAGCTGGTTTAATATATGACTAAGTGTCAGAAGTCAGGTTTCTGAGAATTACTTTTCAGATAAACAACTTTATAGCACTGCACTTAATCTTACTTACTCAAGACATCTCATTTATCACTGAATTATAAGTAACTTTAATTCTATTGATATTGCCATAAAGTCCGCTGGAAATCAGGGTTGGCAGTTTTAAAGGTCTGGGTCCCAACTACATCGCAGCCTAAGGATCACTCCTAGAATCAGAAACGGTCCTTCTGCGAGTCCCCACCTTTGACAACAAAGAATTGAGGGGACTGGAGAAATGGGTGACAGGCAGGGAGGCACTCCTAGGCTCAGAGAAAGCCGCCGTAGAGCCACCCTCCCGATTCCTTCTCGAAACAACTTCCTGAGACCCTTCACCTATTCCCTCCAACGCTCCCGACCCACACACAGGCTTTTTCCTTGAAGCAACAAAACTGGACAGGCATCAATTTAAACTGACCTTTGCCGAAAGGTGGCGCTGTCGAGGTTAAAACCAAGAGTATCCAACAATGGTTTTCACTCCTTGCTCCTTTTTCTCGATTTTCAGATTTTTGTTCAAACCCCCTTCACCACTCGCCCAAAAAAAAAAAAGTAAAATAAATATGAACAGCGCTCGATGCACTTAATTAATTAAGCAAATCAAAGCTCCAAGCAGGCCTCGACTCTTGGAAAGGCAGTGTCCCCTTTTATACAGGATTCTTTCCCACACCCCCAAATCTCTGCCTTCCTCTGGCCTATCGCTTTAAAATCTTAGAAACAGAGTTTCTGCATAAAGTCAAAAAAGAATCGATCCAATAAATTGAATTAGTTTATCAGCGTGTGTAGCAAAGGAGGAGGGGGCATCCTCTCCCGCTCCACCACCCCCAATTCCCGGGCAAATCAAAGAGCCCAGTTTACAATTTAACCCTTGGCGGGAAGCACATGTGGGCGGGGGCCCCTTCTCCCCTCCGTGTCACGATCAAGTACGAAATAATTAACTTAAATGAGAAAGAGCAAAGGGCATAACACCCTAATAAACGGAGGTCGGATTATACTTACACCAGGGTGTGGGGATGTATGTGTGTGTGTGTGTGTGTGTGTGTGTGTGTGTGTGTGTGTGTGTGTGTATGTGTGTGAGACTGAAAGACAGACCAGACACATAGACAGGAGACAGAGATAGAGAAGAAAAGAGATGGAGAGGAAGGAAAAGAAGAGAAAAAAGAGAGTGAAGAAAGGAAAAAGAAAAAAGGGGGTGGGTGGGAGAGTAAATAAAAGGCCAAACTAAAGGCAAATTCTAGCAGGGAGCTCATTCGGAGTTCAGCTACTGCAACTCTGGAGCTGTTCCTGAGTTAACTCTTGAGAATCTCTCTCTCTTTCCCTCTCTCTCTTTGACACACACACACACACACTCCCCATGGGGCCTTAGCAGCCCCACTAGTGCATCCAAGCCCTCTGGGCCCGGGACTCCTCCGAAATGTTTTAAAAAGAGAAAAATAAAATGCAACCAAAGGGATTGACGCTCCGGGACTCCTTGATCCTCCCCAAGGTGCTGCAAAGACTGGCGGCAGATTCTGGTCCCAGTACAAAATTCCACCTCCTGGTTCCCTGAATCTACTCCTATCGAACCTATAGAATCCCATTCCGTACCCAGGCAAGTGCCTGGGGTCCCCAAGCCTAAGCCAGGTGGACAGGCAAAAAGGCAGGGGATAGGCAGGTAGAGAACGAGAGGCAAAGGCAGGCAAGGACGAAACACTAAGAAACGGGCAGGAGAGCTGCGAGGCAGGGAGACTGGGTAGCAGGGTGGTGAGCAAACTGCCCTGATCTCCTGAAGCGAGAGGGACCTGAGACTGCATAGGCGACTCCAAAGTCCAAACAGATGAGTATTTGGGCTCCGGGTGCAGAGGTTCAGGAAGAGGGACGGTGAACACAGGAAGAAGATGCCCCGGGGCTTCTGGCCTGCTCAGAGAGCACCGAGGCAGAGTGGACAGCAGACCCGAGGCTCCCACAAAGCGAGAGGAAAACGTCCCAGAAAGAAATGAACAGTCAGAGCCAGGGGAGTCCAGCATCTCCGAATCGTGGAGATCTTTGGGATTCTAAAGCAAAGGGAAAGTAGTGTGCCTTGGACTCCCCCAGGTCCTACCCCTCTTTTCACCAATCTTCTCCCCTTAATTAATACTACCCCCCCATTCCCCGGAAGGATATGTCCAGGGAAGGGTTAAAAATCCTAGTCCCAGCTGACAGTCAGCTGATTGGTCTCTGATTGACAGCTCCGAAAAGTTTCCTTGTTTCTATACTATTATGCTAATCGGGGCTGGTTTTGAGGTCCCTCATTGGTCCGGAGTCAGAGTCAATTTCCCAGCTACGTCAGAACTGCTATAAAACTCAGCAATTGCTTTAAACTCTTCTTGCTGGATGAGCCTTTAAAATATTTTTCATCTTCTAGCCGTAGCCTGAGCTGACTTTTTTCCCCCCTTTCGGAATTTGGGTTGACTCCCCCTCAGCCAGCCCCCTTCCCCTCCCCCCTCCCCCCAGTAGTTCGTTTTCCTCCTGGCCATCCCCGCTGCACCTCTCCCTTGCACTTTGCACTGGGGGGAAGGGGGGAAGAAAAAAAAAGGAGAGAGGAGAGAAAGAGAGAGCGAGAGAGAGGCGTGAAGTGCTGAGCTCCCCTCTTCCATCCAGCCCCAGAAGCAGCAGCACCAGCAGCAGCGGCAGCGGCGGCGGCGGCAGCAGCAGCAGCAGCAGCAGCAGCAGCAGCAGCAGCAGGAACAGCGAACAGCGCAGCACGCCCGCCGCCCCGCAGCCCAGCCCCCGCGGCCAGCTGCAAACCCCGAGAGCGAGTCCTCCTTATGCAAAAAGGAGCGAAGAGGTGTGGGAAGGGGGCGGCCCAAAGAGAGCAGCCGCAGCGCTCCGGGACGCATCCCCTGGTGCCGTAGGAAAGCCGAGTCCCAGAGAAGAGAAGGGACAGAGACTGAGACGGAAGCGGAGGGAGAGGGAGACTCGCACACACCCACCCACCTACCCAGCCCAGAGGCGCACACACGCACAGAGACACAGACCCACAGACCCCCACACACGCGCGCGCATACACACAGAGGCGCGTGGGGGGGGAGGGTGGACGCGCTCGGGCGTGAGCGGGGGCCCCGACCGGCCGGAGGGGGTGGGGAGCGGGGGCTTGCTGCGGGTGGGCCTGTTGGGCGAGGGGAGCGAGAGGCCAAAGCAGATCCTTCCCGGCAAGCTGGCTCACCCGCTGGCGACTCAGCACAGTTCGCTGGCTCCCCTTCTTCAGCCCATCTGGAGGAGCAGCGGCGGCGGCGGCGGCGGCGGCGGCAGGAGGATGGCATCAGAGCTGGCAATGAGCAGCTCCGACCTGCCCACCAGTCCCCTGGCCATGGAATATGTTAATGACTTCGATCTGATGAAGTTTGAAGTGAAAAAGGAGCCGGTGGAGACGGACCGCATCATCAGCCAGTGCGGCCGCCTCATCGCCGGGGGCTCGCTGTCCTCCACGCCGATGAGCACGCCCTGCAGCTCCGTGCCCCCGTCGCCCAGCTTCTCGGCGCCCAGCCCGGGCTCGGGGAGCGACCAGAAGACTCACCTGGAAGACTACTACTGGATGACCGGCTACCCGCAGCAACTCAACCCGGAGGCGCTGGGCTTCAGCCCCGAGGACGCGGTCGAAGCGCTCATCAGCAGCAGCCACCAGCTCCAGGGCGGCTTCGATGGCTACGCCCGGGGCCAACCGCTGCCCGGCTCCGGAGGTTCCCTGGGCGCCGAGGAGGTGGGCTCGTCCGCCGCCGCCGTGGTGTCGGCCGTGATCGCGGCGGCCGCGGCGCAGAGCGGAGCGCCCCACTACCACCACCATCACCACCACCCCGGGGGCCACCACCACCCGCCGGGCGCAGTGCCCCCCGCAGCCTCCGCCGCCTCCGCCGCGGCCGCTGCCGCCGCCGCCGCCGCCGCCGCGGCCGCCGCCGCCGCTTCGGGCCCCGGCTCGTCCAGCTCCAGCTCCAGCTCGTCCAGCTCCAGCTCGTCCGGAGGCGGCGGCAGCGGCGGGGGCGGCGGCGGCGGTGGCGGCTCGGCTGCGGGGGCCGGCGCCTTGCACCCTCACTCGCACCCGCACCCGCACCCTCACGGTAGCCTGCACTTCGACGACCGCTTCTCCGACGAGCAGCTGGTCACCATGTCAGTGCGGGAGCTCAACCGGCAGCTCCGGGGGGTCAGCAAGGAGGAGGTGATTCGGCTGAAACAGAAGAGGAGGACCCTTAAAAACAGAGGCTATGCCCAGTCGTGCCGCTTCAAGAGGGTCCAGCAGAGGCACGTCCTGGAGTCGGAGAAGAATCAACTCCTGCAGCAAGTTGAGCACCTCAAACAGGAGATCTCCAGGCTGGTCCGGGAGCGGGACGCCTACAAAGAGAAATACGAGAAGTTGGTCAGCAGTGGCTTCCGAGAAAACGGCTCGAGCAGCGACAACCCGTCGTCTCCAGAGTTTTTCATGTGAGTTTTACACTCAAATTCAAGCTTGCCACCCTAATCAGTTCTCCATGTGAATGAGGTCTGGGCTTGGGGCTTGCTAGACCGAGAACCGAGCTTGCCGCCACCCAATTGTTTTTTTTTCCCTTTCTTTCTTTTTCTTTTTTTTCTTTCTTTCTTTTTTTTTTTAAAGCAACACTCACAAACCCAACATACAAAGTGCTTCCCTGAGTTTTGTGGTCGCAGTTGTTTGTTTTTGGTGGGGGAGGGAATGGGGCTGGCTCATTCGATTGCCAACCTTAAGTTCTCCATGACTTGCTTGCTATTTTTTTTAACCTCCCCCCCCAACACTTGCTCAATGTTCAAACATCCCAACTGAGTTCTTCATGTGAAGCATGGCTCACCTTTGAAACCTGCCGTCATTCACTTTTTTTTTAATTTTTCAGTTCCTGAACTAGTGTTTTGTTTTGTTTCTTTCGTACTTTTAAAAAACATTTATTTGGGGGAGTTTGCTGTTTTGCCTCCACTCATCTTCCACCCAACCACCAACCCACCTCCCACCCCACCGAAAAAAAAAAGAAAAGAAAAAAAATCAAAGTTTTCTTTCTTTTTTTCCCTCCCCTCCCATCCTAAGTTCTTCATGTGAGATTGAGTTTGCGGAAATGTGAAGTTGTAGACTTGCAGCTTGCTGAATCCCATCGGTTTTTTAGCGTTGTTATGCTAAACTAGAGAAACCAATCCCGATCAACCTGCCAAAAATTCAAGCCTGCATCAATCAGCCTGCCTTCCTTCCGGGTGTGTACATGTGAGTTTGGGCCTTAGCCTGCCAAACTGGAGACTTTTAGTTTGCCATTAGAAACTCATTCTCATCTCATGCATTATGCTTGCAACTTTGTCTTAGCAACAATGAACTGTTAACTGTTTCAAAAGACTTTATGAAAAAAGAGACATTATATTAATAAAAAGCCTGCATGCTGGACATGTATGGTATAATTATTTTTCTTTTTTTCCTTTTTTTTTTTTGGCTTGGAAATGGACTTGGAGACTATTATGGCATGGCATCCATACTTCTGTTTATTGCCTCATCACTTTTTTGAATTGAAAAAGCAAAAAAATGCAACCCTAGACCCTCCTTCCCATGAAAGTTTGCATCTGCTCTAAAACTGCTTTGAGTTCCTCAAACTTCAGACTTCCACTTAAATGCACTGAAGGCATTCCTTGTCAAAGATGCCTGAATGGATTCATAATTTAATGTGGCAAAAATTAAAGAACTTTTCATGGTGTTTAAATAAGAGCAACAACCCAGTTTGGGAACTAAAATTGTGCTGTTGCCTAAAAGCAGTCTAAAATTTATTTTTAAAAAAATAAAATCTGCCCCATTTTTTCCCCTTTTGGTCATTGTCAAATATGGAATGCTATGGGTTCCTGGTATATAATTTAATTCTAGTTTTTATAATCTGTTAGCCCAGTTAAAATGTATGCTACAGATAAAGGAATGTTATAGATAAATTTGAAAGAGTTAGGTCTGTTTTAGCTGTAGATTTTTTAAAAGATTGATGCACTAAATTGTTTACTGTTGTGATGTAAAGGGGGGGTTAGAAGTTTGCAAGGGGACTGTTTAAAAGTAGCTTATCCAGCATGTGCTTGCAACTTAAACATAAGTTGGGTATATGTAGTCCTTGCTATACCATTGACTGTATTTGAGAACCAAAGTATTAAAAGGGGGAGCACCCCATTTATATCTGTAGGGGGTATTTTACATTCAAAATGTATGTGTTTTTTTTTCAAAATGAAAAGTATTGGGGACTGAATTGCACTAAGATATAACCTGCAAGCATATAATACAAAAATTGCAAAACTGTCTAGAACGCTAATAAAATTTATGCAGTTATAAAAGATGGCATTACTGCACAGTTTTACGATGATGCAGATTTTTTTACAGTTGTATTGTGGTGCAGAACTGGATTTTCTGTAACTTCAAAAAACAAACAAATCCACAGTTTTAAAGGCAATAATCAGTGAATGTTATTTTCAGGGACTGACATCCTGTCTTTTAAAAAAAAATGGAAAGTAAACCTTACCACAATAAATTTAAAAAAATCTTGTCAGTTATTTTTCTTTGACATTTTGCTGTGCAAAATTGTTTTCTATCTTGAGTTACTCAACTAACCACATGTGATGTTCCTCTGTGCTTTTTCTTTCATTTTCAACTCTGGTTATATCAAAGGAAAGAATAATCTACAATAATAAACTGCAATTTTGGATTCTGCACTCAAGTTTCTTAGTGTATAGTTTAACTGGGCAAAGCCAACCCCCAAACCCACCCCCCACTCCCTACCCAAGCAGGACCTTAGAGCAAACCTTCCTTCAGCCAAGAGTTAATACAAGAGTTGGAAGGAAAAAATTCAGGGTAAAGTAGAGACTGGAGTGAGCTGTTGGTACCCGCTTAGGAATCGGTGATATTTAACAGAGGTCAGAATCTTGACCTCTTCGGGGATTAGTTCAAACTTCTCTGTTTGGGAATAACTAAGGGCATAGAGGTCGGTCCTCTCTTGTCATCGATCCATAGGAGAGGCAAGACTGAGAGGAGTTTGCTGTCACACTGACCCTTTTTCCATTTTGATCAATTGTTTGATCACTTTTCAAATAAGAGATGGCAGACAGTGGAAGACCAGGTGTTTAGGAGCAAAGTATCCACTTCACATGAAAGATAAACAGTTTTTGGTGTGTGACTGGTGATGGGTCCTCCTTTTACTGCCCCTCCCAAATACAATAAGTTTCTTGTTAGAGATCTGAGATTTACTATAGACTTCTGAAACAAACACATTTTTTCACCACCTTTAATTTCATTTACCTTAAAAAAAAAATAAAACACAGTTGTGAATGCCATAACTCCAAGCAGATACCTGTCTTAAGCTATATCTTTTGAGTAACAAAGTATAGTGGGGGGGGGGGGAATGGGGAGGGTGTTTACTTAGGCAGAGAGTGGTGATTTTGTTATTGAGGGAAGACCAGAATGGGGGAGCAGAGAGTAATACTTTCACTGGGCAACTGTTGGTTTTGGTTTATTTAAATTTGCCCAAATAGCATGTAATCAGACCAACTAGAACATATTTTCCCCTTTCTCCAATCTCATGCTCCCTCTCAGTGAGAGGTCACCTGAACGTTGACCTTTTTTGAATGACACAAATTCATGTAACTGTTTTCCAAAAGCATTCGATTGGACTTTTTGTAAACTTCCCCCAAAGCCCTAATAGAGAAGAAGACAAAAACAGCACTGTTTGGAAAACACTGGCCCACATGGTTTTTCTGAAAGAGAAGATAATATTGCTACTGCAAATGGAGAGGGCCTTATTTAAAAGATAACAGGTTGTCCTCTCTGACATCTAGTTCTGATCCCTTTATTACCACCACCTCCTCCTTTCCTTTACCCTGTCTACACAACATTATAAGGCAGTTAAATGTACCCTCTGGCATTTGACCTTTTATCATACCGCACATTGGATAATAGTGCCAGAATTATAGTCAAGTTAATTGATGCTTATTTCTAGTTAATATACAATCTCAATTGTAAACTTACTTTCATTGGCTAATCATGAAGGGAGTAACTTTTCTTAATGCTTTGAAGGTTTTCTCTACTACTCTGTGTTTAGTTTTCATTTAAGGACTGGGGGGATCCATGCTCTCTCAAAATAGCCTTTGCAAACACCTCCACAGTTGGGGAATTAATGAATTTATGGAAAACAAATCTTCAAGATAGAAAAGTATTCAGGAAAAAGATATTACAGTTAATACTTGAAAGCACTTGTACTGGGGAGAAATACATTCATAAACGTTCTATCCTAAATCTACGTAGCTATTTAATAGAATGAATAGTTTAAAGCAGGGCCTGGCCATGTACTATGTATATGCTAAATAAGAGGTGATAGAAAAATGGGATGAGAGGATGATTTTGTTTTCAATGTCTGGCAGGAAAACCAATTTAAAATAAAACCCAGCAAGGAACCTTTTTAGGAACTTTGTCATATAGCATGCAATACATTAATTTTAAAAAAGAGCTGGTCGCTCAGTCCAGTTGATATGCCTTACAAGTAAGTCTTTATCTTTAAAAAAGAAAAACTCATATTCCTAAAAGCATAGCTTTTCCCTTAGGCTGTGTTTCATTCGTTGTGTAAAATAGTGTTAACATTCCTTTCATTCCAACTCCCGAGTGAGCTACCAGAAAGTTTGAGCCATCAGGAGGACCCAATACATACGGAAATTCTTGGCTATGTCTGTTTTCAAAATGTGTCCTTATAATACAATTTACGTGAATGCTGTGCAGTGAAAAATCATTTATGTACTGGAAAAACAGGCATGAATGGTCTTTGTAGGACAGCCTCTTGACTCAGTCTTCATCAGAGTTTACTTTCTTTTTAGACAATTTGGCTTGATAGAAGAGGGGAATAACCTTCACATAGTTTAATGATGCCCGGGTTCTGCAAAAGTCCCAGATTCTGCCTATTTACTAACTACAAGGTACAGGATGCCAGTGACTTCCTTCTGCTTTAGGACATGGGCAGATGGGAAGGTGGCTGTGTTTTTGTTTTTTGGGGTTTTTTTCCCCCGGGCTACAACTATGAGAAGCATTTTATCTATCTATCTATCTATCTATCTATCTATCTATCTATCTATCTATCTATCTACTTATTTTTGCAGAGATATCTTTAAAATATGAACAAGTTTTCCTTTCTTAAAGAAAGTTTTCCCGAGTGGTATATAGTAGCAAGAATCATGCTATGAAGTAATTCACAGCTATGACTAGGTCTCTCTGGCCAAGACTTCTAATTGAGGGATAGAGAAAGTATCTGAACTTCCCCCAGACGAATGATTTTCTTGTTCAGTCCAGGAGTGTGTGTGCTGGTGGGAGACCCCAAAATGAACAGCTCTCCCCTTCTCTTTGGATTTTACCAGTGCTGCATTTCTTAATGGTGAAAACCCATTTTGTTATTGACAGAAATAGCTGTGAGTGAAAAATACGTGAATGATAGCAGTAGCAGATTTTCATTTTAAGCGTACTCTATGAGCCTTTCTTCCTATTAGCCGGCATTCCTCAGTATTTCCTCCCTCTTTATTACAGTTCTCTTAATTCAGAACTCATTCTTAATTTTATCTCTCATTTATCATTTATCATTGGGTCTGGACTTCCTGATTTGAGTGAAGAAATGGTGCTTATATCAGAATCATATGTCTAAAAGCCATACCCTTATGGGGCACCTTTTACACATGTGCTGCCACCCCCAAAAGGAAATAGTCTATATTTATTTCTAAGCTCCTGGTATTAGCTTTCTGATCTTGCTACTTCATACACCTGTTTACTTCTGCATTTCATTTTTTAAAAAGCAAGTCCAATTAAAAAAAATCATGAGGCTTTTGGTAGACCTAGCCTCACATTTAAAACTTCACTGTTCAAATGTTACTTGAAGTCAATAGAGGGTAAATGGGACCATGTTGTAGCAACTGTCCCAAATGTGACATCTTGCCTTCTAATTAACTGTGGCTTGTCCATTCTTAGTATTTCTTATCCAAAAATTTACAGCTCCAGAATCCAGTGGGTAGACTCAGGAAAAATACCAGGGTGTTTTGAAAGCATTTTTTTAAGCAGACAAATCCATTTTAATAGTCATTTCAACATCAAAATACAGGCAGTTTATATATCTTCCTATTACAACACATCAGGAAATATATTAAAAAGCCTGTACACAGAATAGCATTTTCAATTTTGGCTCTTTTGGAATAAGTAAGATGGAATTATAGGGCACACAACTCCCCTTCAAAAAACAAAACAAAATAAAACTTTTTTTTTTTAATGGCTAGCCTTAGCTATCATTTAGTTCTATGCCATAAAACAGGAAAGGGTGGTACCATAGAACAGTTCTGGACTATTCACATTAAACATAGAATAAAAGTCCATGTCGTGTTGCCTATTTACATGTCTACTGGCTAGAAGCCTTTTTGTAACTTACATTCCCTTCCTCTGAAGTGATTGCTTGGCCCTTATGGTCACTTCTGGCTTTTCCCCAAGATCCCAAGTGAACAATTTGGGTCCCATGTCCTCTGCATGGTTAAGATGCCCAGGAAGGAAACAGTATAGTTTGCTTTCACACTTTGTCCTTGCTCTAAAATCAAAGACTCTGGGCCCTATGTAGAGAAATACGAGGGACTATAGGGAGGTGGGAGACTCTGGATTCCAGACAGGGGAATTATACTAGGTCTTAATGAGGTTGGAGGCTGTAGGCCCTAGAGGGATAACCTGGGCTTTGGAGAAGTTTGAGGCTATGGACTCCAGGGATGCACAGAATTCTAGGGAGGTATGAAAAACCGAAATTCCAAAGAAGGTACTTAGGTTTGAGTTGGAGCAGCATTCTAATAAGACACATTCTGACCCCTGTTACTTTTCAACTTTAGACTAAAACCTCCCAAAGCCAGAGATCATGCATCCCCAGAAAATGGGAATTCACTGGAAGAATCGCTCCACCCAAGCAGTTGAACAAACCCAGCTCTGTGCAGTGTTTCTTTCCAGCGGGGGTAGAAGATGGGGTGAGACAATCCCAGTCTCCCAGCCTGTCTCATGATTGTTGTGGCATAAAGAATTACAGTCCTGCAAAAATGTGTGAGCATCCCTACCCTTTAGAGAGGAACAAAACCCAATCCAACAGATCAAATTGCTGTGCACAGAGGCGGAGCAGAGATCAGGGAGCAGGGCCCCAGCTCTGGGTCTGATGTGGTCTATGTTCAGTCGGGAGCAAGGGCTTCCAAGTGAGGGAGGAAGGGAGGAAGGGAGAAGAGAAGAGGGAAAGGGAAAGGGAAAGGAGGCTGAGGAGGAAGCTTCCAGAGATCCCAGCTAGCAATGACCTCCATTTGCAGCCTCACTTCCACCTGCTTTTTTGACAGGATCTGGCCATACTATTCCATCTGCTAGTTATTAACAAACATCTTGAAGCCTCAACTTTTAAAAATGTCCTTAAGTCAAACAGACAGATACACACACACACACACACACACACACACACACACACACACACACTCCTACCTTTGTTACAAAATAGGGAGAGACCTTTTTCTCACATAATTGGAAGAGACTACCCCAAAATGCTTTACTTTTTAAACTATCTACAAATACACTGTGTTGTATTGTAGATTTTTTATTGTGATATTTCATAACAGCTTGCCTTGTTATACCGATATTTTTATGACTATCAAAATAGTTTTACAGCAATGGGAAGTCTGTT